GTCAGGCTCTGTACTGACAGCTTGGAGCCTGGAGCCTGCTTCAGATTCTGTCTCCCTCTCTCTGTCCCTCCCCAACTCATGCTCTGTCTCTCTCTCAAGGGTAAACATTACAAAAAAAAATTTAAATTTAAGATATATTATTTACAACTGCACTGAAAATAAAAAATAATCACAGTTAATATCATAAAAGACAGAAAGACCTATACATTAAAAACTACAAAATATTACTGAGAAAATTTTAAAAGACCTATATCAAGGGATATATCAAGGGATCCTCTGTTCAGGGGTTAAAAAATTCAATATTGTCAAGAAGTCAGTTCTCCCCAAATAAATCTGTAGATTCAACATAATCTAAACTTCGTTTCCAGAAGACTACCAGAGTTGGGGTTTTGTTTGTTTGTTTTAAGAAACTGACAAACTGATTCTAAAATTCACATGGAAATGCAAAGGATCCAGTGTAGCAAAAGAACACTGAAAAGAACCAAGCAGGACGACAAACACTACGTGATTTCAAAAATTCTTATAAACTGGCAGTGATTAAAACAGCAAAATGTTGGTACAAAGATGGCCAAAGAGATCAATGAGACAGAATAGAGCCCATAAATAAGCCCACACATATATGGCCAACTGATTATGACAAAGGAGCAATGGCATAAAGTGGAGAAAACACAGCCTTTTCAATAAATGGCGCTGGAATAACTGGATATCCATATGCAAAAGAATGAACTTGTATCCATACTTTATATCATTAAAAAAAAGAATATAAAATGGGTCATAGATCTAAATGTGAGACCTAAAGCTATAACACTGATAAAAGAAAGCATGAGAGAAAAACTTTGTGACCTTGTGCTAGGCAAAGATTTCTTAGATATGAAAACCAAAAGCAACAATCATACAAGAACAAATGAATGTGTAAACTGGACTTCACCAAAAAGAAAAACTGCTCTTCAAAAACACTGTTGAGAGAAGGAAAAGTCACAGACTGGGAGAAGGAAAGTAAAAAAAAAAAAAGAGAGGTGATAAAGGAATCAGCAGCTCTTTCCACCATCTTTTCTGCACCACCATCGAACTGCTCTTCAAAAACACTGTTGAGAGAAGGAAAAGTCACAGACTGGGAGAAGGAAAACCTTGCAAAAAAAAAGAGAGGTGATAAAGGAACTGTATCCAGCTCTTTCCACCATCTTTCTGCACCACCATCATGATGCATGTGAATGTCGTGGCAGATGCTCCCCAAAGCATAACAATACTGAAAAGAGAAGCAAATGCCAGGTTCTTACTAGGCCGTGCTCCAAAGACATTGTCCACTTTCTAACTGTGATGATGAAGCATGGTTACACTGGTGAATTTAAAATCATTGATGATCACAGAGTTGGGAAAATTGTTGTGAACCTCACAGGCAGGTTAAGCAAGCATGGAGTGACTGGCCCCAGAACTGATGGACAATGCAAAGATCTAGAAAAATGGCAGAATAATCTGCTCAGTTTGGTTTCATTATAGTGACCACCTCAGCTACAGTGATGGACCATGAAGAAGCAAGATGAAAACACACAGAAGGGGAAATCCTGGGATTCTTTTTCTAGGGATGTAATACGTATGTGCAAATAAAATGCCTCAATGGAAAACAAAAACAAAAACAACCACAAAAAGACAAAAAGAAAACAAAATAAGAAGGAACTGTGTCTAGAATATACAAAGAATTCTGAAAACTCAACAAGTAAGAAAACAAACAAATTTTTAAAATAAAAAAAAAAAGATTTGGACAATTCAAAGAAGATATCCAGATGGCAAGCAAGCATGTGAAAATATGGTCAACATCGTCAGTTATTAGCAAAATGTATATTCAAACCATAATGATATATAAAATATCCATCCGAATGGCTAGGACTTAAAAAGCTGACAATACCAAGTGTTCATGAATATGTATGTAGGAATTGGTGCTCTCACAGACTGCTGGTGGGAATGGAAAACAGTATAACTCCTTTAGAAAACGATTTGGCAGCTTCATAATAAGGGAATAGAAAGGGACATGAGATTTTTCAGGGTGATGAATATGTTAACTGTCTGGATTGCGGTTATCGTTTCATACGTGTAAACATATGTCAAAACTATCAAATGACACACTTCATATATGTGCAGTTTACCTAACCAAAGCTGTTGGAAACGACAAGCTCTTTCACAGGAAGAAACGTCTAAAACAGTGGATAAGACACAGACGGAAAGAAGGATGTCAAACAATACAAGATGAAGCCAGAGGACCGTGGCCTTTAACCTAATAGCAATGAGAAGTAACAGCTAAGCTTTAAACAAGGAGGTAACATGATGAAATACACATTTTTTTAAGTATATAATAATTATGGTTGCAGTGCAGACCAAGGTCCTGGGAGGTTGAACGGCAGGGAAAACGGTCCTGAGGTTATTTCAGTCATCTAGGGGAAAAATAATGACCTGACCTGGGTGAAGGCACAGAAGAGAAGCAGAGTTAACAAACATGTTAGATGTGCCATTCCCACTAAGAAAGGTACAGTAGACATGATGACTCTTTGGCTGAGAGGATATAATAGTTCTCCTTTGATTTTAATATAAAACATATTTCTGAGATGAGCAGCTCTACAATACAGCAGTGTTCTATGGTGCAGTACTAGGCAAGGTGTGCACATATGACTACAGCCATATACGTAAAAAGGCTTCCTACCTTTACAATCCATGCCAAGTTGTTCAATCAGCAACATGAAATTCTTAGAATAAGGCAACTCACAATCCTCTGAGGCTGTTTCAGATTCAGATGACTGAATGAAGTCGACAAGGTCATCCATAGAAGTAATTTCCTTTTTGACATACAAATAAAGAATACCATTTCAAAATGTCCCCCAAATATTTATAAAATATACAAGGTGTAGAGAAGTGATAAATACCCATCTTTTTATAAAAGCAAAAACAGGGGCACCTGAGTGGCTCAGTCGGTTGAGCATCCGACTCCATTGTGGCTCAGGTCATGACCTCAGGGTTCCTGAGTTTGAGTCCCATGTTGACCTCCACAATGTCAGCATGGAGCCTGCTTGGGATTCTCTCTCCCCCCTCTCCCCCTGCCCCTCCCCCACTTGTGCGTGCTCTCTCTCAAAATACATTTTAAAAATAAGTGAATAAACATTTAAAAGCGAAAGCACAGAGACTTTTTAAAAGAAGGGATTTTTATCAAAAAGACACCGTTATCAATAGCTAGTATTTCTAAGTAACTTTTTCACAGCAAATGTCTCTACAACAAAGGAAGATTTTCTATTTTTTCACTACATCTTTCATAAACTATTTTTTACCACTGAACAATATCTTTAATAAATATTTATCAAAATAATATAATAAAATAAAAATAAAATAAATAAAATAAAATAAAATTACATTGTCTATTTCTCTTACCTTGTTCTTCTTCTTAGAAATTTTCTTTGCAGGCCTGAAAAAACCCAACAATTCTTTTCAGGCAAATATTAAATACTTAAAATACAAAGAATATTTAACCCAATTGTTTCTGATATAAAATCTCTGCACTTGAAACTAATTTTCTACAAAGGGGATTAAACAATAGAGTAACATTAAACAGCATAGAAAATATACTATTACTAATATTAACGAAGGATTAGACGTATCCAGTTGTAATATATGTGCTGCTGAAGTGAGAACAACAAAGTACTAAATTTAGATAAAAACTAACAAAAGCAAAGGAAAATCCTAATGCGACTTGCATTATTTGATAGGCATGATACCATTGTTTTTGTTGTTGTCATTTTTACTAAAAATAAGCTTTTCCTAGCACTAAAACCTACTTCGAAAGTGCAAGTTAAGTCCCTATATGAAAGGACCCCTTTTTAACAATCGTGATATTAACGTGTTGAAGACTCACTGTACAACTACTCTCTAGGCATTACTATGAGCACTTTACATGTATTCAAGGTATTTGAAGCCCCACAACAATCTTATGAAGTAGGTTATTATAGTAGGTATTTTACACAGGAAGAAAATGAGGCACAGAAAGTCAAAGTGACTTGCCCAAGAAACCCTAATCGCTGGCCAAGAACAGACCCTGAATTCAAACCCAGGAATGTGCCTTCAAAGCATGTGTTTCATAACATGTGGTTAAAGTAATACTTAAGTGTTTCTAACTAATATAATAGCAAATGAATCTACATTATTGTTCTATTTCTAGCCATAGCTGTACATAACAATTTCTGAACCTTACACATTCTTTTAAGAGACTTTATACCTAGGCAATATTGGAAATCTACTTTCAATAAACTACAGATTTGCTTCTTCTAGAGAAGTTCATCAACAGGCGTTCATTCGTTCATTCAACTGTTTATTCCCACATTCAACACATACTTATTGAACATATAATCTGTGTCAATGACACTGCTGGTACAGGAAGCATGGTTTTTGTAATTTAGAGCTTTCCAGTCCAAAAGGAATAATCTGTGATGGGTTACTAGTTTATTTTCCAATTGTAAATAAACAAAATCTTCCCCTTTCCCCAGAACATAAATAAATATTAACTTGATATAACCAGATACTTTCAAGTCCCTAACAAAATCATAGCTGTTCATGACGCTATCAAAGGCACTGAATATCTAAAATCATCAAGGAAGGATTAGTTCTATTCAGAATGGCCTCAGTGTTTGCATACGTTTATTGTAAGTGTGAGTGTATATATATACACACACATATACTTATATATACATATAGAATTTATACACAGGTATAAATATATAGATAGATACATACATACTTGCATACATACATATATATATTTTTAAATCTGCACATTCAATTACAGGAGAATACCCCATTGTGGAACCAATTCTGAATAAACCAACTTCTTCCACAAAATTACATGAATAGGAGTACTAAAGACAATGACTATAATCTTTAAAAGATACTGTAATACACTCAACAAACTTCCTAATGTTTGGAAACGCAAACAAAGTTAAATTAACTAACCATGTCTATCTCTATTGATCATTTCCAACAGCATACATACTCTAAAAGCTCCCATATTAAAATAAAAAGAGGAGGAAAATGCCTTTGCAACTCACATTCTTTTTCAGTTATCATCCATTTCTCTATTACCTTTCCCAATTAAAATGCTCTAAGGAGTTGTTTACACTTACTCATCTTCCATGCTTCCATGGTGACTACTGAAACTGCTCCTTGACAAAGTCACTTACCCTCATCATAACGTTTCAAGCAGTGTGTTTGATATGTTGAGTATTTCTTGCTTTAGCTTGGACCTACGTACACTACAGCATCTTATTTCCACAAAAGCTAATCACTGCTAAAATGCCTTCACAGGCACATAAAGAATTTATAGATTTTACCTGCTTTCATGCTGATCCTTTTCACTGAAATGGCTGCCATCATTCTTTTGTAGTGGACCACCAGTTAGGGAATTGGCCTTCTTCAACACTGGTGTGATCACAGATCCTTTTGATGTCCCTTTTTCATTTTCACCTTTCTTTAACTTCTTCATATGTAAACCAGGTTCACTCCTTAAAGAAAAAGCCATAAAACAGCCAATGTTTTCTAATCATTTTACTGATAAAGAATAAAAAGACAATTTTCATCAAGTTCTGAATTTTACCCATCTGACTTAATTTATTAATTCAGAGAACAGTGCTGAAATACCAACCATATACAAGGAAATACTCATCTGTTGCTTCAAACACAGACAAATATACAACTATAATACAATGTGATTTGTAAGAATTGACATGTGAAAAGCTGTAAGTGAGGACAAGAAAGGCTTTATTGAAGAGGGAAAATAAACAGGAGAGGTCACCAGGAAAAGAAACGGGAGAAAACCATTTTCTTAGAGATTAGAATGTAAGCACAAAGATTACATAGATGGCATCTAGGTGCCTTGAAAGGAAAAGTATACTTTTAGGAACTTGGGAAAAAAACCATAAGATACACGGAACCAAGTAGTAAGAGTCAGGAAAGAAATTCTGACTCAGACATGGGAGTAATAACTAGATTTGTGCTATATTTTCGGCTTTTCTTTTAAATATAAAAATGCTTCATTTCAACAAAGTTTTAAAATAGCATGAGGTCCATATAACATGAAAGAAGAAGTCAGGGAAATATCTTAGGGGCAAAACTACTTTTAAAATACCCATATGTCAGAGCGATATCAGTATCATAGCTGGGTAAGATGTACCTTATTGCGTCTCCCCACCTACAACAAACTGGCATCTTGTCCACCCAAGGGCAAAACTACCTTTGCGGGAGCTGTGGGAATCTAGCACCATATTCCGAGGGACCGAGGAAAAGTCTTGCCTACCCGTGCATCAGGTAACAGGCATACATACTACAGTCTAATCTGTGGACCTAGCAATAGCCCATAAAGTGCCTCCAGTCCCTCCCTCTCAGCCACATCTGGGAGTCCCTCCCTAGAAAACACTGTCTAGGATAATCACCCGCAGATGAGAGAGCCTTTTTGGAAAACCAGGTGTCCTGCAGAGAATTTGCAGCATACCACTGGAGCAAAAAAATCAGGGTTGGACACACTGAAGAGGTAGTCATTAAAGACTGGAGGAAGTGACTGCTACTTCAAACGCAAAGACAGCAATGCAAAACTGCAAAGAATATAAAATATCAAGGAAATAGGATACCATCAAAGGATCACAATAATCTTCCAGTAATCAATCGGAAACACATGGAGATCTGTAATTTATTCAAAAGAGAATTCAAAAACAGCAGTTTTAAGGAAACTCAGTGAGTTATAAGAAAAACACAAAAAGCCAACTCATTAAAATCAGAAAAACACTCTATGAATAAAATGAGAAGCTTAACAAAGAGCTGGAAATAGTAAAAACTGACTAAACAAAAATCCTGGAGCTGAAGTGTATAATGAAGGAGATGAAAAAAGCAAGAGTGATCACTGACAGGAAATGGATTAAGCAAAAAATAAAAATGTGAATTTAAAGACAGGAACTATCAAATTATCCAGTCAGCAGACAACAAAGTAAAAACAAAGAAAAAGAGTGAGGAAAGACTATGTGACTACAAGTGAACCCTCATAAGGCTATTAGCAATTTCTCAGCAGAAACCTTACATACCAGGAGGCAGTGGGATTATACATATTCAAAGTGCTAAGAGAAAAAAGACTACCAATCAAGAATACTTTACTCAGCAAAATTACCCTTCGGAAATCAAGTCAAATAAATACATTTGATACACCGCATTAACAGGATAAAAAAAATCATATGATCATCCCAGCATGTGAGGAAAAAGCATTTGACAAAATTCAACATCTTTTCAGGATTAAAAACTCTCAATAAAGTGGGTACTGAATTATCACACCTGGACATAGTGAAGTCCAATATGATAAGCGCACGGCCAACATCATATGCAGTGATAAAAAACTGAAAGCTTTTACTCTAAGTTCAAGAACAAGGCAAAGTTGCCCACTTGACCACTCCTATTCAACAGGATATGGGAAGTCCTAGCCAAAGCAGTCAGGCAAGAAAAGGAAATGACAGGCATCCAAATCAGAAAAGAAGACATAAAACCGTCTTTGCTTGCAGATGATATGTTCTTATATATAGAAAATCCTGAAGAGACCACCAAAAAGCTGTTCAAAGGATGAAGGATACAAAATTAACATAAAGATGCAGGGGTGCCTGGGTGGCTCAGTCAGTTAAGCTTCTGACTTCGGCTAAGGCCATGATCTTGTGGTTTGCGGTTCAAGCCCTCTATTGGGCTCTGTGCTGACAGCTCAGAGCCTGGAGCCTGCTTTGGATTCTCTCTCTCTCCCTCTCTCTCTCTCTCTCTCTCTGCCCCTCCCCTGTCCACACTCTGTCTCTTTAGCCTCTACTACAAAGTTGTGATCATCAAGACAGTATGGTATTGGCACAAAATAGACACACAGGCCAATGGAATAGAATAGAGACCCCAGAAGTAGACCCACAAATGTATGGCCAACTAAGCACTGACGAAGCAGGAAAGAGTATCCAATGGAAAAAAAAAAAAAA